CCGGGATCCTCGTTTGCCGGAATGATTTTTTGCCTTTCCGCTCGATCGATCCCGACCGGCGCGGCGCGGCGCGGCGATCACAGCCGACTCCCACTTCCTCGATCACTCCGCCGAGTAACCCCGCGGCGTAATCCAACTCGGCACGCACATCGGAATCCAAACGCACTGCGTCGAAGATCGCGATCGTATCGCGAGGCGGCGGCGGCGACGACGGCAAGGGTGGACTCCAGCGGAAATCTTCCGCGACAATCCGCCGATATTCGGCGAATTTTATCGCGTGACCCATTCGCGGCAAACTCGTCCGCGCGAACCACGCCTCGCCTAGACCAGCCGAGACGGACCGCGAACCGAGACGTATTTTTCATACCGAACGATTGCGGTCACAAGGTCCTACGAGGGTCTTGTTCAACGTCAAGAGCGTCGGTTTTTCAATGGCACCATTCAATAACGTCGACCAATACTGTCCGGTCACGACAACGTATCCGTCTTTCTTTTTTTTCCCCCTTAAAGATCCGCACAAAGCTTTTTCTGCACACTTTGAAGGATCAGAAATCGTTCTCCTCACACAGGACGTAAAAATATTACAACTTTCTCGCAACAGATACGACGACGAGTTGCGGGAAGCACAGACGCTCGAGCAAACGCGAGGAAAACGATTGGAGTCAAGATGTAACTTTGTAATCGTCGCCTTGGAGAGAGAAAGAGAGAAAGAGAGAGGGGGGGGAATCCTTTACCTACCGAATTGTCGTCTTCAAGTGTCGCTAATTTGGTTACCAAGATCGCGACCTACGGCAACAATCTGCGGTAAATTCAATTAAAATTGCACTGTCAATCGACACTTGTCGACGAAACACGCGTACGTCCATGCATCGTTGTCAGTGTTTCGATATTCCGTTTCTAATTCGGCGCAGAGACACCGGTCAACTGTTCGCGCCGGATCGATCGATCATCGATCGCGGACCACAGGGCGGGAAGCGGGGGTTCAAGGGCGAGAATGCAGGAATCGAAGTAGCGAACATTGAATCGCCTCGATCGTCATCGATCCCGCTCTCTCAAGATCCAAGGAGGGAGAAATCCCATTTCAGATTTTCCTCCCGCCGCCTTCTCTCCGTTACGCGGCAGCTCGAGCATCCTCAGGTTGTTCCCGCTGATCTTCGCGAGCTGATCTCGATTATTCGCTCGGCCGACTCGGCAAAACGAGAGGCAGCAGCGGTCGCCCGGATGTCGATTCAAAGTCGGCGCGAGCGCGACTTGAATCATTGCCCACCTCTCGTCTCCGTCCCACCTTCCCTCCCTCCCCCCTCAAAAAAAATATTGGCAGAGTCGCGACGAGTCCTGCCCTAGGATAACTGGACACTCCTGCTCGTTGAAGCATCAGCGAGCGACTGAGGGCTGCAGACAGCAGACCCAGAAACGGGGCCCGCGCCACGCCACGGCCCCGGCTCACGAGTCCCCCTCGCCGTGGTCTCTCAGGACCAGTTCGGTCGCTTCGGCCGCTGCGAGGGAAGGATGCTGTGCACCGGAGGACTCCCCACCCGCGGGGAACCTACGTCCTACGTCCTACGTCGTGCATTCCGCGTCCTGCGTCCCGTCGAAGCCGGGAGAGGGCCGTTCCCCACCTGATCGCGGCGCACGCATTTCGCGCCTTAGATCAAGACGCGCGCGCACACGCGCGCACGCACACACGTTGTACGCGCCCAGAGGAAGATCGCTTTCGCGTCTTCCGGCGCGCGACACCGCGCCCCGAGATTTTGTCAGTCCGGAGGAAATAATTGCGCACTACTGTGTTGATTTTGTACAGTAACACCTTGTGCGAGAGCTATTATCCCGTATAGAAATATGCCTGTAGGTAGGAATATCTTATTTCACAAGTATTTCATTCGAAAAGGTCTGCAGCTGTAAGTTCAAGCGCGAAGAGTTTTAAAATGAATTTACGGAAGAAGATCTTGGAAGGAAACAAAAATAGGTTTTTACTAATTTTAATGGGATTTCAGTGAAATTAATTTTGTTTATAATTTCTCGAATTAGAAATCTTAAGTTACAATTTATTTTCACATTTTAAACTCTCTCTCGAATGCGATAATATATATTAATATTAAATTTTGATGTCAAATACCCTACATTTTATTACTTCTCAAAGTTCACTAAATACTAAATTGACATTGTAAATAATTAAACAGTAGTAAATTGACACGTTCAATAAATAATAGCTAAAAAATCTCTCAGATACAATATACATATATATTTCCTTTGTTGAGCAATTAATAAAAATATTATTGAAACAACCGAATAAATGGAATAGTTTTCAACTCATTTCTCAAGTCCGGCTTTTCATTTACTGGTCAATTGTTAACCAGAGGTTAGTCTCGACTCTCTGTCTCCTCTCAGATAATAATACAGAAACAGACGGAAAGTTGACTAGCTTCCATTTAGAGTGGACGTAGGTAGAATAATTTCTCCTCCTTGTCTCTGGCTGATAAAGTGTAACTTGACACTTTAACTAATTTATATTACGCTTTGGCGCGTGTAATCGCTGCGGTAATGTACTCGCCTCGTGAATCAATGGCGATTTAATTAATTAGTCATTCTCCGGATGGAACGGGCTCATAAACAAGAGCGACCAATAAACAGGCGTAATAATTCGTTTATAGTGAAGCTATGGATTCGCCAACTCGTTTGTCCCCCCCTTCCTCCTGGCGGCTGTTTGTGCTGCCAATCGCGTCATGTGCCCCCTGATGGTCCACCTGGCCCAACCTCTTCGCATCCGACGGGAGCCAATCGCGTGTCTAACGTACGATCTAATGCTATTCTCGTAACGGGTGTCGAAAGTGGAGGGAGATCGTCGCGCTTATGAGTCGCCTGGCTCCGAGCGATTTTAGATCGTCGCGCCGCGTCGCGCAATCGTACCCGCGTCGCGCGCGCGACGGCGTTATCGTTCGTATCGCCGCGAACTGGAATCCCGTTTCGAAATTCCTCTTCGAACACTCGGGATAAACAAAATCTCGATTTTCCACATTCTAAGCCTATCGCGCGCGCGAAAATAGAGTCGAGATGAACGGACAGGCCTCTCGGAGCAGGAAATGCCCGAGTCTTTAATGTAAATTTAACGAGATGTATACGTATGGAATGCGCGCGTTATAGATTTTTGTACATCCCGCTTGCAGGATAATCGCAAAATTGCGCGCGCAGCCACAACATAATCGCGAAATGAATAGACGTTGGATGAGTATCACGCGCCTTTTCACGCAGGCAAGACAAATCTTATCTCTGCGGCGCAAACACGCGCGCATAATCACTTCGCCCGAGAGTTCGCGTTTAATAATCTTACAAATTAAGGCTCTATAAGATGCGACGCGCGAGAGCACACGGGAGCGCTCTCTCCCCCCTCCCTTTTTTCATTCTCTTTTAAACGTGTGTATACGTGAGATTGGTCCAGCTACGGGAATCAGGTTCGGTAACTTGTCCCATCCATCACTAGCCCGGACAGCCAGATGTTCGCAGGGGGTACAATGGTCGGTATAAGGTATTACCCCTTCGTGCATAATGCCGCCAGCAGAAATTATCCAGCGCGGCACCCTCCGCGCTCGGCCGCTCCCGGACGTAGAAAATTTTGGATTTTACGTCTGGTAGGATCTTTTCTCTTCTTCTGCGCGGCGCAGCCGCCGCTGTCTGTTGCAGGAGCGCGAAAAACTGCTCAGCCCCCGGAAGGTCCGCCGCGCGAATCGAAGCGTGCGCTACGTAGAACGGGGGAATCCCCAAAGTCGAGTCACGGAGTCTCCAGGAGCGGCAGGAAGAATCTATATATTTTTTTTTTCGCTCCTCCAGTCCCGCGTCGCTCTATTTCCTCGGACTGCTCCTGCCAAGTCGGCGACGCGAGTCGCGTCGCACGAGAGTAGCGTGGCATTTTACGCCGAGTGCGTTTCGCGGGTTGTTAAATGTAACACGCGCTCCAACTCCGTCGAGCGTTTGCTTAAAAGCCCACAATTGGTAATCGAATTGTCTGGATTGTTCGTAACTCTACTCTGGGAAAAATTTTGACCGTTTGTTCTTTTTTCTTTGTAGTTAAGCGACTTAACATTTCGGTTAGTGCCTCTTGAGTGAAAATTATCTTTGCGTTATTAAAATCTTGGAATAGATAGAACAGCTAACTGGGATTTTTAGTTACGCGGGGTAAAATTCTTAAAAGGCTAGAATTACGAACAATCCAAATAATTCGATTATTAATTGTGGGCCCCAAAATGGGTTGCTAACTGTCTTCTTTTTCCCAGAGCGCCTGCTGCGAAGAAAACGCTATTTAGATCAATTGTAGAGGGTATCTGTAGTTCTCTCTCTCTCTCTCTCTCTCTCTCTCTCTCTCTCTCTCTCTCTCTCTCTGTTGAAATTTATTGTCTCTCATTTCGAGGAGCATCCCCTGCAAGAGACAGAGTTTTGCCGCAGGTGGTATGGCCCACGAACGGCACGGCGCGTATACGCGGCGTTTTCGCATCGCATAACGTCGTCGCTGACCGGTTCGGGCCCCACCGTGCTCTCCGCCGATTCACCGTGGGAATGAAGCTTTCAATTAGCCGCGACGGTCGCGGACTAACGATTGAGCGGCGATCAATCGATCACGCCGACGTGCTGGAGGATTAGTCCACGTTCGGGATAAATAATCCAGGAAAGGGATGCAGCTCATCTCTCCACGCTGTTAAGATCCCGGGCGTGCAGACCTCGTCTTCTCCGCGAACTCCTTCGTGCGATTCGGAATCCCGGCACGCGGTCCGACTCGGCAGGGCCATAAATGTTTCGTTGCAGTTTGACAAAACATTTGCGCGCAAGCGTCCTTGTTCGAGAGCGAGAATTTATCAGCAACGTTTCACTTTCGTCTCGAAAATTTTCGCGCTAATCGCGAGTAGCTGATGATACTTTTGCATTAGAATTTTCGTTTTCATATTTCTGAAATATAATACAGCCATGAGTCGTGGGACACCTCGTATATCATTTTTTGTGTCTTACATAAGATTGTTCCACGGAATCGGCCCTTGTCGTCCGCTCTGCAAGAGGCTATCAGAGGTGATCCCGAGCAACGCGACGCGCAGAAATTTCGGCATCCGGACTGCATAAAAGTCAACGTGTGTCCATTATTGATATCGAAACACTTCTATTCGGGGGACAGATTCTTGCCGTGCCGGCGCGGCTACAATTTCGAGATGGCTCACTATCTGTTAACGAAGGACGACACAATGAACGAGAAGTACACGAATATAATAGACGTTTGTGCACAGGTAGGAATATGCGAAACATTATCACGATCTCGATTGCGTAATCACATTTTGATTTCTTTGACAAAAACACAGGTCGATTCGCTGGAAGTTACGTACCGACGTAAAGCTTTGCGCGCGATCATGGTAGAGCAGGCCTTAATGCCAGGTAACGTCTGATTATAATAATTGACGCAGCCAATTGGTATAATTGCGCCAACTGATGCAAAAGTACGCCCGCCACGTGATAATAATCGTTGTATCTAGGATTTCTTCATTTTTCAATTAAAGTGGAATATGCTTCTCGGCAGAATTTGATCAAGACAAGATTTTACGCTTTAGCGGTACGACGGCGCCGCGGCCGCGGAAACCGTCGCGTCCGGAAAGCGAGAAGAAGGGAAGCTGGAAGTGCGCGCCGCGTAAGAGGATCCTGATGGGAAGCCCGGACAAGATGCTGTCCATGCCCGAGTGCGCCTCTTTGCCGAGTACGTCGCGATACGGTTCAAAATGTTGAGGTTTACCTGTTAAATCCCGGTCTCACTAACGACTTTTGGTATTAAAGGTGACGCTAATATCAGAGCGGTCGACTGGAGCTGCAACAACATGATTGCCATGAGCGATTGCGACCGCCTAGATATATACGACAACAACGGCGAAAATTTGTCGTCGTACACAGCCAACATACGTCCCAGCGTCAATCAAATTGTCAACGTTAAATGGAGCGACGACGGTGAGTGCGACATCAGAAAATTTACTTCAAATAAAATTAAAGTTTTTAAAAGTAGGAAAACGAAAGATTAATTTACTTTAATCGTACTCTGAAAGCTAGAATAGACGCCGCGCGGCGTAGCACTTGCTCGCAAAAAGAAAATTGCACGCGGTGTTACAATTATGTCGCGTGTGATTATTGAGTATCTTACAAAACACTTCGTACAAAGTCTTAATGAAAAGCCCAACTTATTTTAATATCCTCTTACGTTCCCTTGAAGAAAACGTAAGGATTATGAAAAGTGATTTTCGATCATTTCACACCATTTTTAAATTATCTTGAACAAGAACTTTAAAACTGTCAACTGCAAATTTTACAATTCCTAGGTTTTCTTGTAAAATCTTGAAGGATGTGTTAAGTTTACCTTAAGGCTCAAATTAAAGTGTCCAAATTTACTTTTTACATCTCTCAACTTCCCTAGAGTAAAATTTTAAGTTTTCTAAAGTATATTTTCCCAACGGCGGGCGCGGCACGAAGCAACTATCGCGAACCAGCGATCATTCTTCGAATGATTTCTGGAGAGTCCGAACGATTACGATTTTTCGTAAACTAAATAAATATCTTGCATAACACATTTTAACGTTCGCAAAAGTTCAGCGGGTGTAACAGCGAGAACGATATTTTGTCGCACCTGCTAAAATAAAGATTCTATCGAAAGATAAGTTAGAAAATAATCGAACAAACGAGAACGCCTTGTAGGTCCGAGCAAGATGTAGATAGCCCAATAATTTTCACTTAATATATGAATTCATATGTACAATTTTTCCACTTGTCCTATACGAATTTACGTATTAGATTAAAATTATTGTGCTGTCTACATCTTGCTCGGATCCATAAGGCGTTCTCGTGCGCTTGATTCATATCGTATAATGGTCCTATTTAACTCTATTTGTTTAGAAAACAATATTATCCAAAACGTATCCTACTTGAATCTATGTAGACAGTAACACGAGTATCGTTTCAGGCAATAAATTGATAATGTCCGTCTTCACTTCTATCATAAACGTCTCGACGCTCGTGCTGTACGATTTGAAGAAAAAGAAACCCCTGTGGTGTGTCGATTGCATATGTAAACACTGTGAACAGGATTCAATTTTTAATAAAGGCTGTGTTATACGTTGCGTCTGCTGGTCAGCTCACGATCATCAAATCGTCACGTAAATATCGATTCTACAGTAAAAGTCAATCAGCGGATTACCACTAGAAACAATGAATATTCACTGATTTACAGCTGTAACTATAACACTGAATTATTCATACACTTCTAACTGTTTTCAGTGATAATGCACCGATTTACTTTTAGAGAGTAGCAAACAAATGATAAGCTTGATAACGAATAAAAATTTAAAAGTGATATATTCGCAGAGGATGCGCCGGCAAGATATCGATATACGACCCAAGTACTGGCAAGCTGGTGCACTGCGCGTACAAGCATACGGCTGACATTCTGACCATGAGTTTCTCGCCGAATTTTAAGTATCTCATTTCGACCGGGCAGGACAAAGTCGTTCGAGTGTCCACTTGGCCGGAATTGACTCCTTGTTTCGACGTCAAGTTCTCACTTAAACCTGTAACGGTACGGCGAAACGTTGTTCTGATCCTCAACGAGATAGAGACATTTGCCTCACGCGTTTCAGCCATTGATAGTCATTCGTGTACAATATCCAGTGAACACTAACAGTTACGTAACGTCAATATTATAATTTCCTGCTGAACACTGTAACTATTACGTACAATATGAACATACGTTATATTGCATTACATTCATATTGTTGAGTGAAAAGTTATAATATTGATGTTATGTAATTTGCACCCCAAAAAAAACGTGTTGTTTGAAATCAAACAAATTTTCTTTGAATTTTTATCTTACTAGACCTTTATTTAATTTCAAAGAAATGATTTCTTTACCTTAACCAAAATTTTATTTGATCGAGACTGAAATTTCTAAGAGAATTCATACATATTTCTTCAAATCTAGCAAACGTTTTAGTACAAGTAAATATAAATTTAGTAGATTCAAAGAAACACGATTTCAACGTACCTCACTCGTTTAACTAACTAAATCTATTCTCTGGGTGTAGTTAGCGTTTACTGGGTATTACGAAAAGCTTTATTCAGATTTGTGATCGGTGAGCAGTTCAGAATGCATCGAAACGAATCTGAGTGCAGCTTCGGGAAGTCTGTTTCACGAATATACGTGTATAATTCAGAGGAAAAAAAATTGACATTAATTTACTTATATCTTCATTGCCAATCAATACTGTTCTACGTGTGTCACATTTATCCAATAACAAGAGCGGTTGAAGATGACAGAAGTGAAAAGTGTTGGTGGTTGACAGGTATTCGCCTGGCATCCACAAGTACCCGACTTGCTGTGCATGGGAAGTAAGAACGGATCGTTGTCATTATGGAACGCCAACAAGTGCACGATGGTGGCCTTTGTGCGCACCAAGTTCGATGGTTGCGTGGAAAATCTCGCTTGGAATAAGTTAAGCGGCGAGTTGGTTGTACATTGGACTTACAGGGAGGGGAACAACCGATACACCATCGTCACGGCGCTCGCCAGTTTCAATCGGATCGTCGACGTGCTGCCGCTGGATAAAGAAACGGAGCTCCTCTTCTTGAAATTCAACTCCACGCACGAGCAACTGAGTACGTAAATTCTATTCCTCTTTCTTTCTCGTCTATTTTTCTTTTCTTTTTCGAGTAACTTGGCTCAAGGGAGTCCATGAGGTGATCGTAATACATTTTAATAAATCGCCGTTTGTGTAAAAGTTTTCAAGAAGCGTTTGATTTTGTAATTTTTCGAGGGATGTCGTTGCTATGGAAGCGACGTTGTTTTTATTCGTTCCTGTTCTTTGCAGAGAGAAAGCATGTTTCGGTATTGACCGTAAAACGATCATCTTTCATTTAAAAATTACAATCGATAAAAATGTTTCGCGTCAAGCTTTGAGACATGTAATTAGTAACAAAGTAACCCAAGGCAAAAAGACACGCAGACGTCACTGCGCAAGCTCTAAAATAAATACTATAGACGAAATAATTCATGACGATCGATTAAACTTGCCAATTTAGATTGAGATCTCTTTTAACGGTAAATAATCAATAAAGTTAAAGTCTCGAAAGTCGTTGTTACGCGATGTCGGGCAAGATAAGAGATCTCGTGTTCGCAAGGGAAGAGCGTATATTTCAGACGACAAGAGTAAGACCCGGTTTCACCAACGTCGCTTAGCTTTAAGCTTAGCTTAATCCGTTTCTTTGTCTCTTTCCACCCGTTACTCGAGAAAGACACAAACATGAATTAAACTAAAATTAAGCTAAGCAACGTTTGATGAAACGCCTAAATAATATTTTACTTTCAGCTAAAAACAATATGGAAACATACGTCGAAGATAAAGACATTGCTACTTACTCGGAGTTGTCTTTTAAACGTTAACTTTTATTACATATATTATTTATTAAATCCTGAGGTAATATTTTTCGCAATAAATTTTCTGTATTATTAAAAATGCCAGGGTGGTCAAGGAAACACTGACGTTGCTAATTGTCGCTGGCGACATTGACGAATTCTTATTAGTTGAATACTCAGTAAACTTACGAAGGTTCAAATTTACCCGCACTCTGGCCGCCAGGATCACGTGAGTGATTAATCTATTTCTGCTTACATCGCCAGGGTTCTCCGGAGGTCTGTGCTATTTGGTATCTCGTCGCGGCACAGTTCGCACGTTTATTTTTGTGTCCTTATTTACCTTCTGGCCCCGTTTCTTTCGGCCTTACATCGGAGCGCCGCGATTCGCGACGTAATTTTCAACTAATTACGACAATTACTCTATTAAAGCGCTCCGTTATTAGAAATTTGTTATTGTTCTTCAAGTGATACGTTCCCGTTACGGCGGTAGCCCGACGGTAAGTGCGATTTCTCTGAATTTCGTTTCCTTTCTCGCCTGCTCGCCTAAACTTCGAAGCACGTTGCTCCTTGACCGCATATTGCAGATGGACACTTCCATCCTTTGGCTTGTACCTCAGATTTGTTACTCAGATTGCTTTTGTATGTGTTGGCTTGGATTTCTTTTAACCAAACTACTTCTGATAGGTGAGTAACGTCGCTGGTTTAAACAAATTTTCGACTGCCATTCTGTCTAATACACACGGAAAAAAGATTTAGTCAAGTTAAACAAATGAGATACGTTGAAATCAAGTTTCTGTGAATGTATTAAATTCGGATTTATTTCTACCAAAGCATTCACTAGATTTGAAGAAGCAGATGTGAATTCTCTTAGAAATTCCAGTCTCGTTCAAATAAAATTTTGGTTAAGGTCAAGAAATCGTTTCTTTGAAATTAAGTAAAAGGCTAAGTAACGTCGAAATTTAAAGAAAATCTGTTTGATTCGAAGAAACTTTTACCTGGGTGTATAAGACAAGTTGTAATCTTCAAGACGACACGAGGCCGACGTTAAAATTTGAATCCGCTCGCGCTAGCCTAATAACATTGCAAATTACTATATGTATAATAAAAGGAAAAAAATTAACAATTTTTAAACCTTACTCGACGTTGTATAGCGGCGACTTTGAAAACTTTGTTTTTTTTTACCGATATTAATCTAACCGCTCAATAAATTGATATAAATAAATTAATAATTCGCGTATACTTTGCGCATTAATGTTGTTGAGTTTATTGTTTATTAGTCGCGCTGCGAATTTGTTAATATTCTGTCCGTGAATCCAACGGAAAATTTCTCTTTGTATTTCTCTCGTGAGAACCTCTTGCGCATACCGCGAATCTCTCGTAAACAAACATTTCTTCTAAGCAAGAAGAGAGGAACACGAAATAAAAATTTATTTACCTACACAGTTCGTTGCCAGGAGAACGTTTATTGTTGGATACAAGTAATGACAGACTTGTAAAAATAATAACCCGAGGCAACGAATTCGTGCTTGCTGCTTCAAGGAATATTATCTATATCTTTCATACTTTTGAAAACTTTTGATTTCTCTAGCCTGAAAACTTTTTACTTTTCTGGTAAAAATAGCGTTTCTCGAGAAAGCAAAGGAATCGTGCACCGCAAAATATTCATTTTCTTTAACCAAGTTTCTTATTCGTTGTATGAAAAAAAAACGTAAAAAAAGAACACATCGGTAATTTTGGTAAAATCGGCCGATTAGATCGAGCAAACTTTCAAGCTGCAAATTCATACGTGACGTTAAACACGAAGAAAAATGTGTGACACAGACAGGTCGAGAGATAAAAAAACGTGCAATGTCTTTATCTTCGACAAATGTTTCTGCCTTGTTTTTAGCTGAAAATAAAATATTATTTAGGCCCGGTTTCATCAAACGTCGCTTAACTTTGATCTTATTGTTAGTTTAATTCACGTTTGTCTCTTTCTAGAGTAACAGTTGGAAAGAGACAAAGAACGGATTAAGCTAATCTTAAAGCTAGGCGACGCTGGCGAAACCGGGTCTACTGTTGTCATCTGATATACACGCGCTTCCCTTCAACTGCATTCAAGTTCGTCGTCTGTTACAGTAACGTTTTGCAGCAGTAACGTCTGCTCGGTATGGAATTTCTTTGGCAACGAGAAGTCACTCCAAAGACGACGTGTGCCTCGCTGCAGTTCGACACGACAAAAACAAGGAGTCATGGTCCACAATCCGATTCGATAATAACTCATTCGTCCTGAACCTACGATGATCTGTAATTCGTGATAAACACATTACGAATAACAGAACATCTACCACACGTTGGCGTTGATGCGTGCAATCGATACACTCACATTGGGACCTCCGTGAGTTTATCGAACATAAAACATCCTCGCCAGCTCCCTCGACCCTAAAGTACCCGCGAACGTTCGGCCAAACTTTCCTCCTGCGAAGAAACGTCGTCTGTATTGATGCCTTCGCCCTTGAGCCACCGTCGTGTCAATCGGCGAGAAATTTGCCTTCCCCGTACCGTTACGCTATTCGAAGTAGCTTTTAAATTAATCAATACCAATCCCACCGTATCGCGTTCCTGGAGTCGGCTGTTTATACACCGAACATCTTCCTTAGCGAGACGAATTCTTGGGCGATACTAATCTCACAGAATAGAAAGCCGTACCAGACAGCCGGAGATTTTCTTTCCAATGGCTCTAGGCTCTTCGATGGTACTAGCGAGTTTTACTGGGTTTGCATGTTCCGGTGATATCGGTACATTTATGCGTACAAATTTTACAAAAATTTCTTTTTACTGAAAATATGTCTCCAATACCTCGTAATCTCAACGACCCAATTTTCAAGCGTACACAGAGAAAACGGTTCCTTGAATTGTTTTATTATAGACTTTTGTTACTTATTCATAAAGAAACAAGGTGATCGCGAATCGAACAAGACGACGTGGATTTTATGACGTATTGGTGTTACACGGTGAAACGACACGATCGAGACGTATGTATGTTAATGTAAAATTTATATAAGGTAGCGATATCAAATATGTCAGGCGCAAAATTACAAACAAGTATCGTAGATCATAAAATGGCTTGCTCCGAGGCGACCATCGCTGCCGTAATTAACGCGAAGCGCAGCGCGGATAATTGCGGTTCGGTAAATCCAACGGCGCTAAGAAGCCGTTCAGAAGCGTTAATTTAGCGACGATCGTAAAACGTAATTTCGCACCGCGCCGTGAACAGCCGACTTATCTTGCAATAGATCGGCAACAGCTCGCTGTGCAAGGAAGGTTCACGTTGACACGCGATATGTCGCTCGGCGTAGAGGATTGTGATTATTGTTACATACAACCGTATCATCCAGCTTTTCGGATTCTATCGAGCCAATCTGCTAATAAAATGTACAACGATTCGGCGCGTGATTAAGTGAAAATCGGAAACAAGAAACGTATATTTATAGGCGAAAGAAATCGCGGATGCTGGTCGTTCGTTGATGGATTCATTTTTGTTTTTTTTTGTACGCAAATATGCGCAAATATTTTATCGTTTATAATTTTTTATCATGTCGCACCTTAGTGTGTAATGTTTTATCAATTTTTTAATCTTATTTGATGCAAATGTCAGGTTTTTCTTTTATTAGATGATACGCATAAAATTTGGATGAAATTCTTTCACATTTAGATTTGTTTCCGACTGAGAGAACGTTTCGTTTTGTTTTCTTCGTCGTCCTCTTCTTTTAAAGCTAATTTGGTCCAAAGTTGCGATAAAATTAGATCTAAAAGAAGTTAATAATTTTAATTTCTATTCTTAGCAGTGAAAAATTTTTACTCTCTTAATAAATGGATCTTCTGGAGAACCGGTAAGGTTTAGCTAATTAAATTATAAAAATTTTCTCTTTTTACTAGTATGGATTGCATTTGTTAAACTCAAGATTACGGTTTCTCGGGTTAAAAATTTTCTTATCATAAAACGAATAGATTTATATTTATTTTTATGGAAGTTGAAAGACTTCTTGAGCAGCGATTTTTCGAATTGGCAGGTTTGGTTCTTTTTGTTGTGTTTCAGGCTTTCTTTCACATTGTAGCGCTTCGTATTTGTGTCAAAAATTTATTATCAATTTTTAATGTTGCAACTTGTTAGGAAATATGTATATAACGTATAAGTATAATTTTTATTTGTCTCATCAAAGGCGGCAGCATATTATCAAAATTTATTGGCAATTAGCTTTGCGTGAATAAGTAACTCGTTTTCAGAGTCATGCAGAAATGTTTCGATTATGCAGAATTTCGGATATTATTGTATCGATTCACCGTACGATCACTCAAGTAACGATCAACCGTATAATTAAGCCTCGAGCATCATGCAATTTGTGATATTGTTAACATTTCGATTATTACGAGAACATAGTTTTTGAATATGACTTCTTTTACATTTAAATAATATTATAAGCAGAATAAAACACTAAAAAAAATCACATATCACACATATATATATGTACAGAATATTTTAAGAAAACCAAATATCTTTTTGAAACACGGATTATTTCATAAATGTAAAATCAATGTTTTTCTCGGCAAACAATTATCGTAAAGCAATAATAATAATATTAAATATATCGTAAATATATATTACTATTAATATAATAGATATTAATATAATATAATATTACTATTGTATAAATATATTTGTATTATTATCATTAACTTTCAAATTATGAGCCATAAAAGAGAAATTTTTCGCTAATCAATGTTGTCAGAGCGAAGCAACAAAATCCATCAACTGTCGGACAAACAATTTACTTTTCAATGATAGAACTTCAACTTGCAATTTATATGATAATGTCAACGCGAGTTGTGCACATTTTGCGTGACACTTTCTCAAATTAACTACAATACTACGTGGTTGAAAAAATATGTCGTTAAAAAGATATTCGAATTCTTATAATATCCTTACTTCGCCGTTCCGTTTATAATATTATACAATTAACATATAAAGGAGCGTCATATTTTTACTTTACTTTATTACCTCCGCGTAATTAAGTAACGTGTCGTACTATTATTTAAACAGTATACAATATTTTATATCCGCATTATCGTTGTAAAACTGTATTTTACTAAGCGTGCTATTGCAATAATAATCGAGCTAAAACATCGTTGTTGACTGGTGTCATGGGAATGATTGAATCAGCGAGAACCGAAAGTGAGCATGTGATATTAAGAAAATGTCAGAATTGAGTTAACAGACCCTTGGCTGTAGCACGAAACCAAAACGTTGAAGAGTTTTTTTTTATCTACTTCAAGCAGCCCCTCTTCAAAGCAAAGTAGCCTACTGAATAATTCATATTATATTTGTAAAACAGTTTTTTGTTTTCCTCAAAGGAGACTAACGCTCTTCTGTATGATTTTACCACATTTACTCTTTCCGCCCGATTTAATTGTAATTGTTTTTATTTCAATGAAAAATGAAATTAATTGTTCCTATTTTAATGGAAAATCATTTACTTTCTCGTGCATTTAACCCTTTACTGTGTTTGCCCTTCGTAATTATGGAGATCTGTTCCGAAGGGACATCCACGGAAAAGATTTCCGAATCCAATTACATTTCGATTTGTCATAAAATGAAATCGATGCCGCGGCAATCATATTTGTTATTGAGTCAGGAATGTTTTAATGGAAAATTCTTGAATCTAGAATACATTTTAATATACATTTTACTATAATAGCACAATACAAATTACTAGTAAAATGTATATTAAGTATAATTGCTAGTGAAAAGTGTGGTAAAATCTCAGAAAACTCTCGTGAAATTCTTTAAAATGCCGCGTTTACTAGTAAAATGTATGGTAAAATTTCGAAAAACTCTGTCAAGGTTCTTCAACATGTTGCGTTGTCCCACGATCACACGACTTTCAGGGTAAATTTTGGAAGAAAACTGTCTCTGTGTAGAAACTTAATATCAATGTCATGTTTTTCACGCGTGGGATTGTGAAGTTTAAATACGTCAAGAATGTGTTTTGTCGCGTTATCGGAAATCCTGTCCGAGAGGGTCGCGAGCGACGCACGCGAGCGCGCAAGAACGAAATAGAACAAAAAGAGTCGGGCGTTTGCTGCGAGACGGGCCGATTCGCGGTCCCGCAACGATCAAAGACCGTTCTCAGTTGAGCGAGTGCTCGGTGCGTTCGCCGACTCTTCTCAGCATCCCCGATACCCGCGTGTCCCAGGGCACGCACACGTGGACGCGCGGGCGCATCAATGACGCGCGAGCGCGCCCGGCTATCGGCGATGTTGCGCGTCGTCCCGGCTCGTCCAGCCACCCACACGCGAACACCCGCTGACACACGTGGCGGGTGGGCGAGGGGGAGAGGCGGGAGAGAGGAGTACACGCGAAGGAACACGCGAGCACGCGACATGCCGTGGAGAACACGCGCAATTTCGCAACGCGCGAAGAATGCCGCGAGTGCAGCTGCGAGTCGCTCGCTCGCCCGCTCGCTCCTCGGCATCCGGATTCCAGCGTGAGGAAACCCCGAGCGCGAATCGGATAGAGGCCGGCGAGAGAAGAGAGAGCCTGCGGAGGAGCGCCGGTCTTCCGAATTCGACCACGCGTTCGTTTGAAAAGATGGGGGGGGGAGAGAAGGAGAAAAATGGTGAGAGCCCGAGGGGAAGCCGGAATTCGGTAGTAACGGTATATGGGAAGCGTAGGCGGACGTCCTTGATTCCGACGATAGCGATCGAGACTCCTCAGCCCTCTCGCGCCGTCCGTCCGTCCGTGTCGCCCCCCTTACCCCCGCCTGATTGGGCCGCGACGGAACTGGATTGCGGGACCGGTCGCGCAGTCACGTGTCGATGACTTTAGCAGGAATCGATGACCGAGGGGGGAAGTCCCTCTCTCGATTGGGCCGGAAGAAAAAATCGCGAAACTCGCGCGCGCGCGCGCGCGCGTCGTACGCTTTGCACACATATGAATATATATTTCATTAGTATACGCGCGCGTATATATTTCGAGTCTCTTGTTCTTCGGCGCGTAAACTTGTGGACGAGCTTGTATTCCGAATTTGGTCGCGAAGCTTGGCGGGATAAAAAGGAGACCCGAGAGAGAGAGAGAGAGTGAGAATGAGAGAGTGAGAGAGAGAGAGAGAGAGATTTGCCACCGCGCGCGGATCGCGATAAAAGCTGTGAATAATTCATGTCATTAATAATCTTACCGACAAACCGAGCGCTACCTATTGAACGATCGCGGGCGGATGCAACATCGATCAAGCGTACACCGAAAGACTGACAAATTATTGTCCGGCGTAATGTATCGCCTTTACGTCTATTGCTTATTATAACGTATCGCTCGCGTCCGAACGAACCGTGATTGAGTTGTTCGAAGGAAACGGGGGGGGGGGGAGGGTGTAAACGTCGCATTTACGTGACACACCGCGTGCAAAAGTGCCTTTCAGCGGTCGTCCTCCGGTGGGACTTCCGGTTACTTTGCACGCGCCGAATAAGCGAATAAATATAAATTTTGCATCCAGAGACGTTCTCTAAAGGTTTTGGAATGGAAATACTGTCGTGGAGTAAAATATTCATCATATTAGAGTGAATATTTGCTCCGATAGTTTTACACTCGAAAACTTTTAGAGAGTCGCGGATACATTGAGGGGGGGGGAGTCCCAGACACAGCAGCCGTTAATGGCGGATTCCCGAGATCATTTTGGGACGAAAATCCTTATACCAACTCATACCAAAGTAACGGGACCACACGGAGAGACCGATATGGTTACCACATGTCTAATTAGGGTTGGTGAATGAACGGTGAACAACCCCAGTGAATAGTAACATTTGGGACAGCTATGTCTGTGGTTGTTACACCCACATTGGTATGATAAGTAGTGGAGACAACTATATGTGTTTTGTGCAACCTGAAGGTACTAGGAATATATAAACCCAAGGAGAACAAAAAGTCAGGATGATGTCAATTTGATGTCATATTGACCAAATTTATGTCAAATTTTGGTCAATTTGATGCCATATTGACCAAGATTTGACATAAATTTGGTCAATATTATCAAATTGACATCATCCTGACTTTTTGTTCTCCTTGGGAAATTTCGTATAGCTCTTTAAAATGCCACGTTGTCCCACGATCATATGATTTTCGGGGTGAGTTTAAAAAGAAAACTCTCCTCGTGTCTGAATCGACACGCTTTATATACTATATATTTATATTCGCATACAGCGCGGATTCCAGACGGGATCAGGTGCTCTCGAGCGAGAGAATTGGAAGGCCATATGCAACAGCCCGCGTAACAAAATGGCAAAATTAACGCGCGGGAATTAAACGTTTCGCCTATAATTATATGCGGATTGAGTAGCCACGTCCTCCTAGATACCGCGGGCAAATTTCACGCCGCGAAGGATGCCAGGAGGCCTTCGTACCCTCGTTCGTGCGAGAGCGTACGGATCGTGTCGCGATACCGTGAATTTACGACGGTCACCGAGCGAATCCATTTGTTTCATCTGCATCTGCTTAGCACGCTAATGCCGCTTTCCTCGTATTCCTCGTCTCGCGTCGCCGGGACCTTCTTTTTCTGCTCCGGACGGGGGAGCTGCAGGGCCGGGCTCCTTCGACGTTTACGTTTGTTGAAACGTAAGCGAGCCCCGTCCGCGATAAGCGGAAGCCCCGCGATGCTGTATCGCGCAGCGAAACGCGAGAGAGAGAGAGAGAGAGAGAGAGAGAGAGAGAGAGAGAGAGAGAGAGAGAGAGAGAGAGAGAGAGAGAGAGAGAGAGAGAGAG